GGGCACAGCGCAGCTGCAAGGAGTGCCTGTGCTGGCACCTGGCCACACAAGGCGCACGTCAGCCGTCCACCTCCCAAGCCGCCCCCGCTGCCACCCAGCCACCCCCACCACTGCCACCCCCACCCTGCCACCAAGCCCCCACCCCTCCCACCCCCGCCCACCACCCCCGCCACCCTCACTTGTAGTGGATGATGTTCATGGTGTTGGCGTACAGCTCCGCCAGCCAGTCCATGGCGGCATCGTAGTTGGCCATCACGCTCTCGTAGTTCAGGCTGCCGTCGGGGTTCAGCTCCACGGGGGGCTGCTTGGGGCCCACCTGCAAGGAGAGGGGGAGGGAGGGAGGGAGGGCGCGGATGTATACGGGCCTGGGGCGAGGTGCAAGTAGATGTGTATGGGTGGGGGACGAGGATGGAGAGGGAGCAGGGCAGGCGGGGGAGGCCGGCAGGCACGGGCGCGAGAGCGGCGCGCACCTGCTTGCCGGTGATCTCGTCCACGCCGCTGTTCATGCTGTACAGCAGCAGCTTGGCCAGGTTGGCGCGCGCGCCGAAGAACTGCGCGCGGGAGACACCATGCGGCGGCAGGGCTGGGTGGGCAGGCGGGCAAGGGGCGAGCGCGGCGCACCGCCGCCTGGCAGGCAACCCACCGCTGTGTGACCACAACGCGCCAGGCACTCGTGGGACCAGCATCCACGGCTCAACACCCGCTCCCAGCCCAACTGTGGCCCACCACACCACACACACACGTGCACACACACACACACACACACGCCACAGACTCCCACCTGCATGTCCTTGCCCAGGCGCATGGCCGACACGCAGCAGGCGATGCCGTAGTCGGATCCAAACATGGAGTGCATCATGTCGTCTGACTCGTACTGGATGGAGGAGGTGTCTATGGAGACCTTGGCGCAGAACCTGGGGGGCGGTACAGGCGGCGAGCAGGCGGGCAGTACGATGCGCGGTGGTCAGGTAGATGAAAAGGGGTGGAAGGGCCAAGCGCAGGGGAGTGGAAGGCGCTGCTGGGGATGGTTCCTGCGGACCGTGTGGTGCCCGCCCGAAGCAGGCAGGCAGGCTGGCAGGCAGGCTGGCTGGCAGGCGGCCCCGCAGATAAGCGCTTGGGTTCCCGCTCCCACCCCTCACTTCTTGAACTCCTCGGGCAGCTTCTGGGACCAGAGGATGGTGATGTTGGGCTCGGGGGCGGGGCCCAGGTTGTACAGGGTGTTGAGGATGCGGAAGGAGGTCTTGGTCACCTGCGGGGCGGCGCAGCCCGGAGCAACAGCGCCACGCCACAGCTCAGCTCGATTCAAGGTCCGCACACGTAAACCTCCCTCAGCTGCGCAAGCCCCGCCCAGCTCATAACTCGAGGAGGCTAGGCGGCAGCCAGCCTGCCTGCGCCACCCAGCGCGGCGGCCTCACCAGGTGCTGCCCCTTCTCGTCGGCGCCGCCCAGCACCGCGGTCACCCAAGTGGGGTCGCCCGCAAACAGCTGGTCGTACTCTGGGGTACGCAGCTGCCGCACGATGCGCAGCTTCATCACAAACTGCGGGCGGGCGGGCGGGCGGGCGGCAGGGCGCGGGGGTATGTGCGCATGTGCGGGTGCCACCCTGCGCGGTGGGCCGATGGCGGGCGCCCGACCAAGCACAGCCCGCCTGCCACACGCTCCTGCCCACCACCACCCCATCCTGCACGCCCGCTCCTCCCCACACACAACCACCCCCGGCATGTACGATTTACCCCCACTTGGTGCGTCAGCTACCGCCACGCACACCCCTCACCACACCACACAACACACACACACACACACACACACACACACTGCCCTTACCTGGTCTATCAGCTCCTGCGCCTCCTCCTCGCTGAGCCGCCCCGCCTGCAGGTCTGCCTCGATGTATCCGTCCAGGAAGGCGTCCACCCTGCCCAGGCTCATCGCCGCGCCGTCCTGCTCCTTGACCTGCGGGGGAGCGGGGCAGCAGAGCAGAGGGAGGGCGGCAGGCGGAGGGGTGAGTGGGAGGGTGATGGGAGGTGGTGGCGTATCGAGGTGGGGTGGCGGGAGGAGGTGGCGCGAGGCAGGGAGGGAGGCGGGCTGCCAGGGCTGGCAAGCAGCCCAGGTGTAGTGGCTCAGCGCGCCCAGCGCGTAGGGCCCCGCCGGCTCACCGCTCCAAGGTAGGCAAAGTACAGCGACTGTACCGCCTCGCGGGCGCTGGTGGCGGGCTTGGAGATGTCCACGCCTGCGGCGCGAGGGAGGAGCAGGCGGGCGGGTGCGGGGCGCGGGTGAGGCAGCAGGCAGGGATTGCGCACCCCGAGGCAGCAGGCAGGGACTGCGCGCCCTGATGTGTCTCTGCTGCCTGCCGTCAACCACACGTCCCCTGTCCCTGGCTCCCTCCCCTGCCCATCCAACTCCCCACCAGGCCCTCCCTACGCGGACGCCCACCCTGCCCAGCCAGCCTCCCGCCCTGCCCCCCTCACCGTACGACGTCGCCATCTCCTTGAGCTCCTTCAGCGCCCGCATCTGCTCCTGCACCTCCTCCCGCAGCCGGATGCGCTCCTCGGTCATCGTCCCCACCAGCAGCTTCTGCAAGTCCTGCGCCTTGGCAGCAATCAGGCCGTCCACGCCTGCAGGAGCGTGGGGTGTGCGGTGCGCGTGGGTGGGTGGCTGCGCGCATGTGCGTGTGCGAAAGCATGGTGACGGCAAAGGGGCACCGCAGCCTGGCATTGTGCCGAGAAAGGCAGGGGGGGAGCGGACTGTGACCGTGCCGGTCCTGTGCCTGCATGCAGCGCAGCCCGAAGGTGCCGCCCACCCAAACCTAGTCCCCACACCGCCACCACACCGCCACCACACTGCAGCCGCACCCCGTAGCGCCTTGCCCCACCCTGTACTGCCTGCCCCCCACAGCACGCCCTGCACCGCTTCCTCACCGTACAGCGGCACGCGGCGGTAGTCGCCGATGATGCGCCCCCGCCCGTAGCCGTCGGGCAGGCCGGTGAGGATGTGGTTGGAGCGCGCGGTGCGGATGTCGGCGGTGTAGGCGTCAAACACGCCTGGGTGTGTGTGAAGGTGTGTGGGGAGCGGGAGGGGCAGGGGAAGCAGGAGAGGTTAATCTTGAGCACGACGGAGCTGAGACGTGGGAGGCGAGCGAGGTGGCAGAGCATAGGTGGGGGCGTGCCAGGGAGCAGCTGCGCCGCCCGCCACCAGGCTTCCAGGCGCCCGCCCTCCGACAGCCCTGCCGCCAAGCTGTGCAGCAGCCGCAGCCCAAGGCTCACCCTGGTTGTGCGTCTTGCGCACTGTGGTGTAGATCTTCTCCACCTCGGGGTCCATCTTGTAGTTGTAGGCTGCAGAGGAAAGCAGGGGGGGAGGACAGCAGGGAAGGTGGAGGAAAGTGAGGGCGGGAAAGGGACTCGGGGTGAGCGGGGAGGGGTGGGGAGGCAGGGGCAGGGCAGCGCCACGAGCGGCAGGCACACGCGTGGGGGGCGCGCAGAGCGGCAGCAGCTGGCCAGAGAGCGCTGCCCAGCAGGCGTGGCGGTGGGGCCTTGCGGAAGGGCGAGGCTAGAGGTGGCTGGAGGCAAGCGCCAGGTACACCCACCCTCCAGTGCGGCCTTCACGATGCCCACCCCGCCCAGCGGCTTGATGGCGCGCTTCAGCGGCGCGTCGGTCTGCATGCCCACGATGACCTGCAGGGGCAGGGGCAGAGGGGGCAGGCAAGGGGAGAAGGTGAGGCGAGGAGGCAGGGCAGAGCACGCCTGTGAGGTGCGGTTCAGCCAGCTGCGCACGGATGCACGAGCCCTCCACCACTGATCGGCCGCTCGTGCGAGGCGCCCGTGTGAAGCGGCTCCTGCTCAATCTCGCAGCCAGCACTGCCACCCCATCCAGCCATCCAGCCAGCCAGGCTCCCACCCACGCCCCCCGGCCCACCTCCTTCTCCTTGTCGATGTAGCCGGGCGGGAAGGCGGTGATGGTGGAGGGCACAGATGGGTCCACACCCATGATGCCCTTCTGCAGCTCCTCCTTGCACAGGTCCTGCGGGGGCGGGGAGGAAAGCGGGGCGCGGGGAAGGAAGCGCAGAAAAGGGAGTGGGTGAAGGGGCTGCAAGGCCTTGACGCAGGTCGGGAGCCTGGCTGGGCAGGGAGGGCAACGGCACACACGTGCATGGCAGAGGCAAGCTCATGCGCAGCCTCGACAACTGCTGCCCACACCCACCCCAGCATGCGCACCCACATCCACACAGCCCCCCACCCACCTGCACTTTGTCCCAGAGCTCCAGGGTGCGCTGGGTGGGCCCGCTGAGGAAGGAGGCGTCCCCATCGTAGGGCGTGATGTTGTCGCGCACATACTTCTGGACGTCGATGGTGGGTGCTGCCACGGCCGGCGCCGCCTTGCCCTTGGCGGCCACCGCGGCGGGCTTGGTGGGTGCTGGCGCCGCCTCGGGCAGCGCCGAGCTGGCAAAGCCCCTGCGGGCGGGCGGGCGGAGGGCAGGTTCAGGGCGGGGTGAGCGGGGCGGGAGGCAGGCGCTTTGTCCAAACCCTGGCCTGCTGCAGCGGTTTTGGCGGAACCGGCGCGATGGCCTCGGCAGCTGGGGGAGCAGCAGTCAGGGGAGCGGGAATGGGGCCAGCCTGGCAGCGCAGCACGTGGGCAGGGTGACCGGCGGCGGCGGCGGCGGGAGTGGCGGTGGGTCAATGCATGTGCCGCGGCGCACCTGCCGGTGGCGCTGCCATGCTGCTGGCTCTCCTCGGCGGCCGAGGTGGTGTGATAGGTGCGAGCTGGGATGCCCGAGGCGGGCCTGCAGGCGTGCAGGGACGGGAGATCAGCGCGCGGGGCTGGCAACTCGCGCAGGCACCACCGGCGGCGCGGCGGCCCAACAGTCCCCACACCTGGTGAGCCCGCGCGGCGCCTCTGGCGCCTCGATGAGCATCGCACGGGGGCGGAAGCTAGAGAGGGAGCGCGGGGCGGCCTTCCCGACGTGGGTCAGCAGCGCGAGACTGGCGGCCGGCAGCACGCTGTTCAGCATGCCCCCTACGCCCGCCAGGCCGCTGCTGGAGGCCGCTAGTGAGGCTAACATGGATGTGGGCGCTATACACGGCGATTGGGGAAGGGGGAGGGGCTGCAGGCGCTGCGGGTCACCGGACGACGTGCCCTGACTCGCTGTGGAGTGCGATGGGAGGGTTGGGGGTGTGTGCTCGTGGTGTTGGCTTGTCGAAATAGGCAGGATTGTGCAGCCGCCCGGGCCGCAGAGTTTCTATGAGGCCATGCATGCCGAGACTTTCCAGCCCGGCCGCGCCGATTACCAAAACAGGACGGAGACCGCATGTGGCCCTTCGCCGGTCCGCCTCCAGGGCCCTGAAGGTGTGGGGGGCGTATGGAGGGCTTGGTGGGCGAGAGGCAAAGGGTTTGGGGACCCATCTTGCCAAGCAGGGCCACATGGCGGCGCTGCGGTATACAGGGCCCCAGTCTGGCTTAGCTGCCTCGCTCAGCCCATTCTGCACCTCAACCATTCACAGCTTGCCTTGCACAATTTACACAACATCCCGATCGGGCCGCCGCTGCTGCCGCCAGCTCGGGCGCTGGCTCCCTCCGTTCCCTGCCGCCGCTTCCCGCCGCCGCTGCCATCCCGCGCGCGCCGCTCAGTCCTTGAGCACCAGGTACTTGGTGCCGGGCTCCATGCGCGCCACCTGCTTCACCAGAGCCACAAACTCCTTGTACCCCTCTGTGGTCAGGCGTGACTTGTACATGGCAGTCAGGTCGGAGAGCTGCATGGGAGGAGGCAGGGCGAGGCCCAGGCACGGACGCCAGGTGGCGGCACAAGAGGTGAGCGCACAGAGGGAAGAGAAGGCAGCGTGCATTGCAGCGTGTGATGCGGGCGAGGATGGCTGGCAGCCTGGGCCAGAACGCCAGCCAGCCGGGCGCCGCCACGAGCGATGAAGCGGCTCCCCCCTTTCCTCCTGAGGGCTCACCAGGACGCGCCCCTTGGAGCGCAGCAGCTGCTTCAGCTCCTCTGCCGTAACGGTGCCGCCGCTGGCCGCCGGCACCGAGGTCGGCGCCGCGGGCCGGGCGGCAGCCGCTGCAGCCAGCGCGCCGGCCGCTTCTGCAGTGGCCGCCGCCGCTGCACCAGCAGGCGGCGCGGCGCCTGTGCGCGCCCGCTTGGCCCCCTGCTCCGCCGCGGCGCCTGCTGCAGCGGGGTGGCCGGCGGATGGTGGCGGCGTGGGTGACTTGCGCTTCTTGCCGCCGCCTCCTGCTGCCACCTCATCCTTCTGCAGCCAGCCAGGCAGCGCAGCGCAGAAGGGCTCACCGCATGGACACAAGCTGCATAATATGATCACACACAGAATGCAAATGCCACCAATCCAGCCCATCCCAACACAC